ATAAAAAAATAAACACCATTGTAAAACCACTAGCTTCCTTGCTCCGCTCAGAATCTAAAATGCAATAGATGTAATAAATTATTCAATAAGGGTTAGGTTAGGTTAGGTTGTTTTAAGTTAGGTAACCTGAAAATGATCTTCATTATATATACCAAGTAAAGTGAGTAAATGAAGTAAGCGAGTTAGGAGGGGTTCCGAAGAGGGAGCCTTGTAGGGGATCCTAGATAACGAAATAATTGTTATAGATAAATTTAGATTACACAATAAGAATTTTGGCTTGTCACTATTTATGGAAGCTTTTGCATGAGTGATCCTCGGACTGTATTTTAAGTCTGCACCGTTGAATACTTAGATGTGCCCTGCAGTTGTAATAATAATATATATATACCTAAATTAACGAAAATGTTAGTATATAAATCGGTGTTTTAATGTGACATCACATATAATATTATATAATATATTAATGGGCATATAAAAACAAAATATATTTTATTGCCCAGCCAACGGGCAAGCCACTGATGTGCCTATATTTTGGTTTGGGATTTGGCGAATAATGTCCATGCGCGGTGGGCACGATTTATCACACACGTAATCATATCGAAAAGATCTCTGAAAACGATAGATAATATATAAAAAAAAAAGTTATAATATCATGGGCGCACGCGCGTGTGTTTATAATATGTAAACCTGGAGCTAACGTCGTCGTATTCTCTGGCATATTTGTCCGGTAGCCATATTAAGTCGAGTTATCTATGCGGTCGATCGGATGTGTGGCGATCCTCTAGACCTACCTGGTCGAAATCCCCGCTGAGCTCGTAGCCCCGTTAAGCACTATAAATTACGGATTCTATTTATTTATATAATATACTTATTTATAATAATATAATGTGTATATTGTATTGCAGCGGTGCACGAACGGTATTTCCATAAATTTAACCGCGAATTGACATCAGACTTATAGCCCGCAATTACTCAGAGTGCAGGTCTTGCTACCGCCATTCCACCACTCCATCTGTGTGTGTTATATCGTTTAATATAGAATACATATACATTTTGTCGTTTTTATATACGTTCGTTTCAACCAGGGGTGAACTAAGACAATATTTCAGGCCAGCGAAATCATTAGGCAGTCCAGGAAGGTTTAACCAAAAAAAATTGGTTGTTTATTAAAAACCTTGGTTATTTTTATAGCCAGTTAGGCCGTGATTATGAATATTAGGCCAGACCACGGGTAATCTCACGTCATCTCGCCAGTCGCCAGGCCAGTCCTACTTTGGTTTAAACTATTATAGCTAGCCTTATATACCTACACCTATAGGTAGCTGAAAGAGCTATTTATTTATTTTTCATTTTTATTGTGTGATTAAATAAAACAATATTCGAAACATCTAATTTACATAAAAGAGCTAGGAAATAGATAAATGCTCAGATCTAGAATATATGACTTTAATTTAGTAAACCTTTCTTCGGTTCTGTGCCACCTCAATCTGACACTTGTATGATAAAAAAAAAAATCCTAGTTCATACAGAAACGTCGTACGATACTCCAAGGGCTCCCATATTCGAAATTTCATTGGGGGGGGGGGGTAGGTATTTTTTCAATAATATTGAAAGGTAAGGTAATGTGTATGACGTATTGTATCGTTTGATACGCTGAGGTTCTCAGGGAAGTCGAGAACAAACAATGTCAGATCACACACGTGCTTTACCGTAATAATAAAAAACCAATGATCAAAACTTCTGACGCTGTCAGTGTCTTTGGGAGGTCCTTGGCGCTGCTGCAGTCGTTTTGAGAAACGTATAAAACTATATTTAATAACAATAGAAGCGCTGAGCACTGCACCCTCTCGCGGTATATGCACACAATAATTTACGACCGATAAACACATACACATAATAATAACAATAATAATAATTTATGCGCGTGGTATAATCGCGAGACGTTCCGGCGCGCAGTGTACCTATATATTGTATAATAACAATCATGGTAATATATATATAAATACCTAAATATATTCGTCCCGAATTCTCGGGGCTGGAACCAGTCCAAAACGTGCTCTTCGTGATTTAATTAGACTCCGTCTGTTTCTGCCTAGTGTCGCATTACGACGGTCGCATTTTTAATTATTAACGTAAATCTCTCACTTTATTATTATTTTTTTTTATTCCGGAATCGGGATTTTTACATTTTTTTTTTTCGTTTCTCGTTTTCGTTATATCATCATAGTTCACCCGAATTCACGGGAGGCTGTCTAATGCTGCGGGGACGCTTCATTTTATATGGGTACATAATAATAATATATACATTATATTATTAATAATATATTATATACGTAAATTACGGTGGACCGGCCGCCCGCCCGCGAAGGTCCGACACGGGGACTGTATATCACAATATATACAGGATTATCGCCGTCCCAACCTAACCGCGTGTGTATGCATATTACGTATTGGTATATAGGTATAGGTATATAGGTACCGTGTTTTATTAATCCGACGCGTCGCGGCAGACGCCAATTAATTTCATTCTTTTTTACGGCCGTCGATAAATATCGTGTCCGTCGGATAATGAGACACCCCTTATTATTATTATTATTGTTACTACACATACACACAGGCACACACGAATACAATACGCGCGCAAGTGGAATACGACCGAGTGTGGAACGCGGTGAAGAAAATAAAAAATAAATAAATACAATGAATAATAATAAACCGGCAAATTATACACGCGAGACGTCTCGTTTACGCGGCGAGGACGGGTCCCTCGGCATTTTTCGTCGATAAGTGAATAAAAACGGTGAGAGTCATGTTCCTAAGTAGATGTATATATTATAATATAATATATTACATTATCTATATATATATTTTTTTTATTATATTAGAGGTATATAGTTACGAGTACAATAAGAACGGTTTAAATGAAAGATTAAAATAAAATAACAAATAATGTTTACTTCGCTTTACGACCGACACTATACAGTCTCAGCGCGAGTGAGGGTGTTTAAATTCACATAATAATATCTAACGTATTTATAGTATAATAACGGCGTATGATATATTGGACTTCTTGCAAGGCGCTGGAAATTGGTTTTCATTTACACCTTCAGACGCTTCAGTTATTCAGCTATTATACCTATATGTCCTACCTATAAGAATATTTAAGGAGATTTAAAAATAAGATTAGTAAGAATTGAATTGCCTTAGTTTAATCTAATGTTATAACTCATTATCATCATTAGTGTTTTAAAGTCTCACCGAGTATTTTGTTGTATCTATTTGTAGATACAGCTTACTCTTATATTGTGGTTGAACATTTTTTCTTTGTCAAATGCTTTGCAAGATTTACAAATTTGGCAATCATACATTCATACGCGGTCATCAAATAAAAATGACAGTGGCAATACACATTTCAACAGCTTGAATTTTCATTTAATTATTTTGTATAGTATAATTTAAATTCTTATAATACATATAATATATAAATGTTTTTTGTAATTGCTCAATAACGTTGGTTATTTGTATGTTTCGAGTTAAAAATTGTCAACACAAGTCCGCCGATCGGTCGTTATTATATTATAATAATATTGTGGTCATACTTAAAAAATAAATAAATATCGCAAGTATACCTACCTACTTTGCAGGGCATGTATTCGTAGCGCTCCGGTGTAAATAACTCGATATACTTTATAGTTCTATGTAGGTATATTCATGCCTTTATAATGGGTGCGTTAAGTCTTGCAAACTATTGTGTACATATTTTATATAAAGACGTTAAATGCGGACTATTACACGAGTGGTAGGTATAAGCGCAGTGCGTACGTACCTACTACACGTTAGTTAAACCGTTCTCGAACACGATTTTGTGATAATTTATTTGCAGAAAAGAACAAATCGGCATCAGCGGCGAACGTTAATCGTGTGATAAAACCAGCGTGACGTAATAATTTTCTCTAAACTAAGCGCGCGCACAACACATGTACACATATATACACGTGACACTGGACAGTTAAACAAAATATAGTATCCGCGGAGGTATATAAAATAACATAATAATAATATATTAACATATAATATTATGTAGGTATACCCACCTATGTTGTTCAAAATGACAACGCTATAGGGACTTAACGTTATATCCTTCCAACGTACCCATTTTATTTGTGCAGTGTTTACGAACATTGTTTTAGGAGATGAATTTATATCTTCCTCTTCTCCAGTCCCAACTTTATTTTGTGGTCGTCGTAAACTCAAAGCCGTTAAGCTGTCGCCCACTGTCCTCCCGCACTTAATATCCTATTTTTTATGCGACATTATAATATCTGCGTGATATATTTTAACGTATATTATATTTATTTCTAATTTCTCCATATAATAATATTATGATATTATATCATCCCATTTTATTAATGGTCTCACCGGGATACCTCAAGTTGACCCGTTAAAGCTTAAAATAAGCACTTAAACACAATAATATAGTGAAACTCATCAGCGATTCCAGCTGCATGTCTAAAATTATCAGAATTTTTTGTTTCATAAATATATTATATAATTCTAAACACCGACGTACAGTACAGGTAATGCAGTACAGGTAATGCAAGTTTACCGAAAATAAAAACAAATATTCTGTAATTATAAGCCTCCTTGAAGTTCTTGGAAACAATTGCATGTATTTCAAGGAGATTTTGCAGTAGTTATGTCCCGTACATATTTCTGATTCCATGACGTACGGTAACCGGCCTGAACCGCATCTTAGAGGCCAACTTTGAGTGCGATCCGATGCCATTCAACGCCGGATTGTTATTTAATTTCGTCATGCACAACGCCCAAAACGAGGGTTGCATGTTTAAGAAGGACTTGTGATGGGTCTAGTAGCCTCGAGTGGTTTGGACATGTTATATGCAATGAACTCGGAACTTCTAACTCAAAGGTCATATGAGTGCCTCCGGTGGAAATCTTCCATAATATAGCAAACAGGAATAACCATTTACGAAACGTGGCTAAAGCACGCTTGGGATTGCGAAATGAAGATCAATGGTATAAACATCAAATCGCTGACGAAGTTTTAGAGAAAATACAACTATGACGAGTACATGCACAAGGCCGTGGACCAGACAGTGCAGCTCTACAAGATTGCTTGTAGATTGTTTGTCTAAAACGGTTTGACGAACTGTTTTTCTCTGTGTGTATGAGTAACAAGCGAGTGTCGCGTTGCCGGTAGTCAGCCTCCAGTCGTGTAAAAGCTCACGCTGGACGACCACACGCTGAACAGGATGGTCCAGACCGGTTACCATATGGAATCAGAAATACGTACGGGGCAGTATCTACCACGCAAACCGAACGTCGGTGCTTAGAATTGCATAATATTATAATATATATATATATTATATTATACAATAAACAAATTTGAGAATTTGAGGCATGCAGAAATTGCTGTTGAGAGTTCTGGATACCATTCGTCTCTATAGGTCTGTACAAGTGTCCAGTTTGTTTTTTTTTATTCGACTTACTCGCGTGCCGTACGATTAAATCGGATCGCTTGCAAAGTAGAAGGTAACATTCATGTAACTATTATACATATAATAATATATTAATATCGTTTGTTCGTCGAGTGAGACGCGATAACCACTGTGCAGCGCTGTGCCGGGCGTGCGTATTTCCAGTCACGTGCCGCCGTTTAGCAACCACGGCGTCCATTATTTCAGCATTCTTCGTCAAGTTTCCTCGTTCTTTGTATACACACACACACACACACACACACACACACATTATTAATACACGTGTGTGTGTGTGTATGTGTGTGTGTGTGTGTGTGTGTGTGTGTGTGAGAGAGAGAGAGAGAGCGTAATAATATTATATACTTTTTGTCGTCCCTAAAACGTATTATTAATTAATCGTTTGTTCGTCTGCAGCCGATTTTGTGCGCTGAGCTGCAGCTCTCTTCGCACTGCCCGGCACCTTCTGCGTCGTCCGCGCGTGCGGTGAGCAGTTCGTGCTTGACTCCGGACACGCGCGCGCCACCGTTTTGTTCACACACACGTTTCCCGGACTCGTCTTCTGCGTTTGATGATAATAATAATAATATATTAGCGGCGGCGGCGGTATACGTACACACAAACGACGACGGCGCTAATTATATTATATACGCGTCTCACCCATATTATGATGTGTACACGATCGCGGGCAACGCGAACAAACAAACGAAATAAAATAGTAATAATAAAAAAAACCGTTTTCGTTTCGTGAGCGACTCGATTCGGCTTTTTCATTTTAATCGCACGTGACGGCCCTGCAACTGTTTGTAACACAATAAAAAAAATATAAATATAAATATTATGATGCTAAGCGCACCGACATACGCCGCAGTAGGTATATATGGTGTTATTATTATACGACGACGCGGGCTCGTTTTTCGTCCATCCGACGCATAGATATAAAAATATTATATTATATTATTTTCGTGTGGCAAAACCGCTCTTCGGATTTCTCATTTCGTGTCCGGCTAATCCTATAGGTATACGTAGGATTTTTTATCTCCGATATTATTTCCAAACGCCGGACACACAAATATAGTGGTAGAATAACTGGTATGTATATATCAATATACTTACTTATATTATATAGGTATACGATTTAAACACTATATTACCGCGGTTTCCCTGAAACACATCAGCGTATATAATATTATAATATAAACAATCTGACGTAGGAAGACAGCCGACATTATTATTGTATAGGTTGTAATGTTTTCATATAATAATAATGTATATAATATTACAATAAACCGCTTACGTAACGTCGGATCTAGGTATGATAGACGTACACTTGATACGACAACATTATTATTTATTTAAATATACTGCACCTCGTCTATATCACAGCTAGTTACTGTCTTAACTATTATTGTTATAAACTGCAGCACATGCCTTATACTACTAGCCAGCACCCATTTATATTATGGCTATTTGACCAATTAACGACGATATGTCGTAATAACAACGTCGTCGTTATCGGATTTCAATAAAACGGTACATCTCTGCACACTTATTAATTTCTATGGTATCTACCTGTAGGTACCGGTAATTCCACGCGATGTTGGATATGAAAGCCTCTTCAGTTCGATATATGCACACGGGGGACACATGTGATCTATGGACATTTTGTCGTTTCGTACATCAACCACACGGGCTGTGGGTAACCACTCGGGTATGCTGCATATTATACCGAACGTAAAATATATTACATAATAATAATACTACAGTTAAAAATCTTGAATTTTCCGTTTAGATAGTTTGTTCTTCTTCCCTTAGCAGATTTATTTTTTCCTTTTCTTCTAAGAGGTAATTTGAGATTAGAAATAACAGTTGGTTTTGAAAAGCCATTTTTTATGTTCTTCCTATAAAATCGATTGTGTTCAAATATAATCAATCTGACGCTAATTATGAACATTGTGTTTAACCTAAGCTTATACGTGAGCTTAAACTCAACATTAAATTAAAATTTTTTCAAAAATCTTATATTATAATGATCTATGTTTCATGTAAGACAATTTGTCACTGTAATATTATAAGATTATAATATTATCCAATACTGTAATATTTTATTAGGTTTTTTTTAACAAATTTAAAAATAAAACGTGAACCAAGCAAACACCGACTATAGTCACTGATATTTTAATAAACCGTAAAGGCTCCGAATAAGGATGGCAGTGCCAATAGGTACGAGATATGATCAGTGAAAAAGTAGGTATTATTATATTTTATATGTTTGGTAAAACTCGGTAAAAGTATAATTTATATTTATTATTGGTATACACGAATAAAAACAAAATTTAGTTATTTTATATTTGAGTCCAGTTAATATTAATTCTAAACCACAGTGTGATACGCTGTGTGATTGCGTATTAAGTTTTGCAGACCTGCGTATTTTATTGACCGCGAGGTGTATAGAGATTTGGGTGTCCGAGCCAGAGATAAACCGTACATACCTATCTTGTCGAAGGAATCAGTGTTTATTATTATCGTTTTACAATATATTACAAAATATACATATACCAGTATATAAATGATAGTATTAATATTATTATGCACGTGGTATAAAACGCGGTCGATTGGAGTCCGATCAGTCGTGTTTCTGACCCGTGCGAGAGGCGGGTGCAGGCTGCTGCGGACGCGATACTGTTGCGAGGACCTCCGCCGCCGGTTCGGGTCGTACCTGTATACGCGTCGTATGATAATATATCATTATCATGATTATCTTTATTATTATTATTATTATTATTGTGTACGCGAGTATCGTAAGGATTTTTTTTTTTAAATTTCATTTAATGTCTTTGGCACGTTTGTCGGCGACCCTGCCAAGTCGTGACCTCCGCTCCGGGCCACACGCCGCCGGTGGGCAGGTTACCACGCGCGGCTCGTGCTGTACGCGGCAGTAGTAGTCGGACACCATTATAATAAGCACCTAACACACATAAGTGTATTGTATCGTATAGGAATTGCAGGCTCTTTGATTCGGCGGGATCCGACCGTCAATCGATAAGTAGACGAAAAATAGCGTGCGGGGCAAATCGTGCCGACTACAATAATATTATTATGATATTATGGTATACCTATAAGTACATTGAGAGAAGACCGCGGAACTTTGAAGGTATTTTGAAGGTGCAAAAATCTACACATACCGTATATTATTATAAATAATAGGGTACCAAACCGATTATTGTCCAACCTCTACGGAAACAAGTAACAAGAGCTATTAATAACCTAGAGTGATTGCCGTCGAACACAGCTATTCTTTTCTCGAAAAAACAATACCAAATCATGGGTATGTATAGATACGTGCCCAATGTAACAAAATACCTATCTAAAATAACATGTATACCATCGTGTCCGGTTCTGCGAGATAAATTTACGATCGATTTTTAACGTTCGTGTTTCGAAAGCCAAAAATTATTGTTCGTTTAATAAGATTAGGTATAATAACACTGCAGTGTGGAGGTGTCACGATTACTTGACTGCCTCATGACTTTCACAGCTGAGTTAATTTAAAATGCATTTTTTAGGTTTTTTTTATGTGGCTTATTATGTCAGAATTGGAAAAATAGCACTCAAAAATAATATGGTTGTACATTTGAAGTGTATACGACGCATAAATCATAACCAACTCGTAGACATAATTGTCCCTTAATAACTATTTAATTGTAATTAATAATGAATAAGACAGTATTTGTTTACTCCAATACGGTACACTAACTTCATAGTTTGTTATGACTACTCAATAAAGTACCAGACGGTACGCAATTACACGTTTAAATACTGAGAATTTTTACTTTTGACCACCCAAATTACTAGCTAAAGATTATTTTGTAAAACGAATTTTTTTTTATTTTGAATTATATTAATTGTTTGACAGCTATTGCATGCCAAAATCGATGGAACAATTTAAGAGATCAATATAGGAGAGCAATAAAACGAAATAAAACCACATCAGGACAAGCTGCACAAAAAAAAATTAAGAAATATAAATATGAAGATAACTTGCAGTTTTTGCAAGAGTTTTTACAAGAAAGAGACACTGTTAAAAATTTATCATGTAATCTTAAAGACAGCTCTGAAGAAGATGGATACACAGAAGAAATACATGGCATCAAACGATACTTCTATGAACAATGCAAATTTAAAAAGAAATCAAAGTCTTAATGATGACATTTGGAAAAAACCAAATACAATAAAAAAGAAACAAAGCATGACTACTGGAAGCTGCCAACAACCAGAATCAGCTTCTACAAGTCTTATGAAATACTTATTGGAAAAAAAAGAAACAAATAAAGACAGTGATATTGATCCTATAGATGCGTTTCTCAAAGGTATTGGTGCTACATTGAAGACATTTGATCCTTATTCTTTAAATTTGGCAAAATCTAGAATATTTAATACCGTTCAAGACATTGAAATGTCCCAAATTTTAAACAAACAACAATCATGTGCTTCTAATAATCAACCTTCCCCATTGCCGTCATCTAACTCATTATACAGTAACTATTCTCAGTCGCAATCACCACAGTTGATTATACAACCAGCCAATACAATATTTACACAAAATGCGTTTACGACATTTGGAAATGAAAATCAACACCAATAATTTCGTATTATTTAACATTAATAATTTCAATTAATGGTTAATAGTTGTTTATATTTTTCTTTTTTATTTGTAAGATTATTTTGGTATCTAACAGATTTTATTTTATTTTAACATAAAACTAATTAAGAAGGTACTTAGTATCAGTTAATGACAGTTGTTTTTTTTTTTAATAACAAAATGTAAATCATGCTATCTAATTTTAACATAAATAAGATTCAAAGTTGGGTATAAACTAATTTAAGTGTTGTGTTGATTACTTACCTTAAGCATACAGCTAATCTTTCCTTTGGCGGTATAGGTTTTCTCCAATGAGTTTCCTGCTTTGTTATTAAATTTTCCAACTTTTTATGTAAGACATTAAAAGTGTATTGAGACATACGGAAATATTCATAGAACTTTTGTTCATCATCAATTAGACCGTTATACAAAGTAAATTCGCCTTCGGTTTTCCTTTTTTTCCACAGATCATGAACCCACACAATTCTTTTTTGCTTATTTGTAATACTTATTTTAGATTTATTTTCTTCTTCTTCTTTGTCAAGTATTAGTGCTATAATAATTACCTCTTCTTGGCTAAATTCAACCATGATGAATAGGAACTCTTGATGACAACTGTTCTATACTACTGCAAGATGTGTACTGAGATGACGTGTGAATGAACAAACAGCAACTAAAATTAAAATCGGAACGGAGACGGCCCGGGTATATATGAACTAAGTCCTCGGAAACCACTCGGAATGGAAAAAATTTGATCGGACTCGGAACGGACCCGGATCGGATGTGTGTGAAAGGACCTTTTAATAGTCGTCTACGGTATTTAATAAAGTATAATATATAGTTACAATAACGATAGGCGAAGACGATAGGTTTGCTGTGCACCATACTCGTAGTTTTTACTCCGTGGGTTTGTCGTTACTGTTTAGATGTACATATCGATTGTACCTTGGAGAAAGTGTTCGTCTTTTCTCTTCACAATGGTCGTCGTATTAGATCAGTAACTGCTGAGATATGTAGTAGTCAGACATTTTGTCATTGTAAAATATGTAGGTACCTATATCATGCATTCGCGGTTGCAGAAGGTTTTTTAGTGCATGCAGTTTCTAGCGTTAGGTATAAGATGGTAAATTAAAAACTGCAATGACGCAAATATACTGACAAAGAAATTGCAATTTTTTATATTCAAGATAATAAGCATTTTTCCACCTAGTTAATGTGTTGTTAAAGTTACATAAATTGCTATTTATTCTTCTAATCTTATTCTACGTATATAAAAACGTATATATTATATGGGTACCGGGTACCTATACTTTTATTTTATCGGTAAAATAAAATGTATATAGTAAAATATTGGTCGTCGTGTCCTTGTTTTTGTTTTTTACAACCAGATTTTTAATAACTTTTTGAAACGTAATTTAAAACGGTATTTATGCGTGTACAACACAATTTGTATAAATAATCACGCCGTAGTTACAATTTTGAAAAGAATTAAGACATTCTGTTCAAAACATAAAACAAAAATTATATTATACATTATATTTTAAAGAAAACGCATCATAAAATTGCTCTTAAACAAATAGATTTACCACACATAGCTATATAATTTATTACACATTAAACTCGCTCTCTAAAATTTAATTTTTTCCCCTTTTCTCTTCTTTGCAAATATTTTCGTTTTATATTTATCATATAAAGTCTACAATATTATAGGCCTGGTTATTATACCTGGACAAACCGAAATTAAATTCAATTTTTATACAGTCAACAATTTTGTCTGTTTCCACATAAACGTAATACCTATCGGCTATCAGTAGGTACATCATATAGTATAAAACTTTATTTTACGCGATTTCGTCCACTGCACCGGTCTAATAAAATTAAGCTGCGTAGGTACAACGATTTTTAAATTAATTTTTATTTCTTACTATCATTTAATTACGTCGAGGGGCCCCATACGTATTATTTGATTACAATAATTACGAACGCCAGTACGGCGTACGTACACGTGGGTATAATATTATAATGATATATTATATTTCAATTTATCTTAGTTTCGATCGTAGGTATTTCGTTGGTAATTATTATTTTCCTTTTTATTTGACAAAATATAGTTATAACACTTTTAATATATATGCATTGTGTACCGAGATCGTGTGTAGAGACGCGTATGTCTAATATATAAAGCCGCATTTCAAAACCATTTTTTTTTAATTTTCAAACTCGTTTCGGTTTTCTTTTCAAAGACGTTTTATCTTCGCGATCAGCTATATTAATAAATGGAATGTTTGTGTATAATAATATTATTATATTATATATGTATTTTATAGGCTGTTCGCACCACGTATAATAATCGTTTGTGTTTACCATCGTGATGTACCTATAATAATATTAATATATATGGGTAGTAGGTATCGTGCCTGTGCGTTATAGGTACATAATATCTTAAACGGGATAATATTAACACCTCATTTTTTAAGGAATGCCCTTGACATTTATCTTTATTGTGTGTTTTGCGTCGAAAAACATGGTCTTATTCGTTCGTTATGTATCACTGCTCACTTCGGTGGACGAGTGGTCGTTTGCTTATGTGGCATTAACGAGTTTAAGATAACATTTCAATAAGAATATTTAGTTTTTCTATAAAGTTTCTTTGTTTAGACGGCTTGACTTTGAATGTACTTTTATATTATGATACGCCATAAAACAAGCTAAATTTATTACCTACATAAGCACAACGTATAATTTGGTATGTTTTCGACGCAATAAAGTAAGTTAGTCACTGGGAAAAGTTAATTTTACTATACATTGACTTGGTTTTTTTTTCAATTGTATGAATAAATATTAAATATGTTATTAAAAATAGAAAAAGTCCAAAATATTATGGAATAAACTCAAAAAATTTGAATCGTAAAATAATAAACTACGTAAAAATCGATCATGCTAAACCATAATATTGTTGATACAACTGAATAATATATTTTAAGTAACTTGTTAAAGCAAATAATACAAACTGCGATAGAAACAGATGGACGGTATTCATAAGGTACAAATACTTAATATTTTATTATAAACCGCTAAAAATAATATTTAATGCTGTTAATTTATCTTATGTGTGATACAATTAAAAGTAATAAAAAAAGTAATAAATGCATTTTTAAAAAACATTAATAGTTAGGTATATGATAAGACATTTAACTACCTATGGTTAATTTTTAATGAGACAGTAGATTATCACGATTAGCTGTTATTACAAATACTTTTTTTTTTTCTAAAGCGTAATCAATCAGAAACTCGCATAATAATAATATAATAATATAAAATATATATGTACATAGCACATTAATATTATGTATTAGACATGTGCATTATTATACTAATATGCGTCATTATTCAAGATTTGTGCACACGACGACACAAATATTAATGAAGTGCGAAATCGCGTTGCGTCTAATGGAATGAAACACGACTAGGTGACCATTGAATTCCGGTCGACTTCACCAATAAGTGTTTGCTATGTAAATTTACATCGTAATAACAATTATCGTAATAACGTCTCTTCCGTTCAATCGAATCACATTTTCTTCGAGGTCATCGGGACGTTAAATTCGATGAGCTTTGAACAGACTAGGTACTGCATTGCATAATTATGCATATTGCATAGTGTAGGTAGTGTGTTATTTACTTATAAATGTATAGAAACTCGATCGATTGAAAGGTGCACGACCAAGGGTCATATGAAAGATATGTTGGTGGGAAAAATCAAACATTTCAAAATTGTTCGTTATAATAATATAGATTATTATTGTACTTGACGAATCGCTACGGTGTTACTAATATTTTTTTATTTATTATTGATTTATTATTACAATAATTATATTTACGGCTTACTATAATTTTCAAGCAGTTATTCGTATACATTGATCTATATATTATATTATATTATGATATTATTTATATCTAAAATTTTACCGTTACCCAGGTTCATGTCGAGAATGTTTACGACGTGAGATTTTATTTTCATATTTATTCGTTGTTCGTAAAAAGTTCTTTTTTTTTGCAACGACCAACCTCAATAATACCTGTACAATAAACGTACATATTATATTGATGGACACTCTCGTGCAGAGTATACGGCCACCGTGCTATATATATGTAGCTATGCGTGTGACCGGATTAGACTTAAACCGTAATTTCGTTGACGACAACTCGAACGAAGATCACAGTCGCAGGCACATAGTACTACATATTATAATATTATTATTATATAACCGACAGTATATTATATATATTTATATTTACATTAAGGGTATATACCTACTGCTATATATAAATATAAAATATTAGATATATAAAAACGGTTTGCGTGTTGCGCTCTCGTGTATGTACATATTATATACCTATTCGCTATTGTCTTATAGGAACACGACGACCGGTTTCGTTTCAGTCAAACCGTAGGTACATTATAATATATTGTTTTCGTGGCTAAAGAATATAATATATAGGTACGGGGAAAATAAAAACAGTTATTGTTATTTATCATTAAACGTTATTCGTTCCATATATTCTTCTTTAAAACGTATAACGAATAAATGTGTTTATATCATTGCACATCCGCGTCGTTGACAGTTGCGTTCTTATTACATTATAAAATCACGTACAGTAGCGGCTATAAACAGTCGATCTCTGATGATTTCAAATTCAATCCCTATTATAATTTACCAGTGGTTATTACTATAATTTAATAAAATGTACCTATATATTGAACTCTGCAAAGTTATCTCTTTTTTTATATACAATTGACCGTGAGTGAAAGATTTATCTATTTTTTGGTGATTATTCCGTAATACAAATTATTGTTGTTGCGGTAGGTACTTATGGAAATATAGTAACATAGTAAGGCGACGCATCACACAAATAAATGTTATACATTTTCCTATTAGCCTAAAAAAGTAACTTTATTTTAAATACAAAAACTTATCACTTAATAAAAAATCGGAGATAGTTATTTTTATTCTTAATTCATAAAAAACAAAGTCTAGGTATACATGTTTGATATTACGATAGTATTTATTTCGAACAACCGCAATAACTACCTATACAAAACAATACAAAAGGTTAATTTATAAAGACATTTCAAAATTATGTATACTTGGTTTTATACATAGCTGGTAGCTGGTAAAATAACAAACGAAAATGTATATATATATATATATAATATTATATACATATTATGTAATGTTTACCTATAATAAATACGACGAGGCGTACAACTACCGTTGACTATCGCCGTGGTATAGAGATAGGTGCCTAACCTGTGTAGGATCTGCATAAACGCATAAATGTTTTGTAGATTATATTTGTTGGTTGTGTACATACACTTGTGTGTGTGTGTGTGTGTGTAAGTCGTACTACGACGAGTGACGACCGTTAGTGCTGAGACGTTTTGAAAATTCCACGAGAGACGGATTATTAGTCGGCGGTGGCACTCGACAATACGTATAATATAATAATATATATATATATATAATATAGGACATATTATGTAGGTACATCATGACGACGACGACGTCTTACGGTAGGACTACATGGT